TAAGTGCGTTACTTACCCATATGGCTGGTACCAAGCGTAAGTGCTTTACCTATATGGTTGCTACAAAGAGTAAGTGCGTTACTTACCCATATGGTTGGTACTAAGAGTAAGTGCGTTTTTTACGCATATGGTTGGTACCAAGAGTAATTACGTTACTAACCCATGTGGCTGGTACCAATAGTAAGTGCCTTACTTACCCATATGGTTGGTACCAAGAATAAGTGCGTTTCTTACCCATATGGTTGGTACCAAGAGTAAGTGCGTTACTTACCCATATGGATGGTACCAAGAGATAGTACGTTACTTACCCATATGGTTGGTACCAAAAGTAAGTGCGTTACTTACCCATATGGTTGGTTCCAAAAGAAAGTGCGTTACTTACCCACATGGTTGGTACCAAGAGTAAGTGCGTTACTTACCTATATGGTTGGTACCAAGAGTAATTGCGTTACCTACCCATGTGGTTGGTTCCAAAAGTAAGTGCGTTACTTACCCACATGGTTGGTACCAAGAGTAAGTGCATTACTTACCTATATGGTTGGTATCAAGATTAAGTACGTTACTTACCCATATGGTTGGTTCCAAGAGTAAGTACGTTACTTGCCCATATGGTAGGTACCAAGAGTAAGTGCGTTACTTACCTATATGGTTGGTACCAAGAGTAAGTGCGTTACTTACCCATATGGTTGGTACCAAGAGTATTTGCGTTTCTTACCCATATGGTTCGTACCCAGAGTAAGTACGTTACTATCCCATGTGGTTGGTACCAAGAGTAAGTGCGTTACTTACCCATATGGTTGGTACTAAGAGTAAGTGCGTTTTTTACGCATATGGTTGGTACCAAGAGTAAGTACGTTACTAACCCATGTGGTTGGTACCAAGAGTAAGTGCCTTACTTACCCATATGGTTGGTACCAAGAATAAGTGCGTCTCTTACCCATATGGTTGGTACCAAGAGTGTGTGCGTTACTTACCCATATGGTTGGTACCAAGAGTTAGTACGTTACTTACCCATATGGTTGGTACCAAGAGTAAGTGTGTTACTTACCCATATGGTTGGTTCCAAAAGTAAGTGCGTTACTTACCCACATGGTTGGTACCAGGAGTAAGTGCGTTACTTACCCATATGGTTGGTATCAAGATTTAGTCCGTTACTTACCCATATGGTTGGTTCCAAGAGTAAGTACGTTACTTACCCATATGGTTGGTACCAAGAGTAAGTGCATTACTTACCTATATGGTTGGTACCAAGAGTAAGTGCGTTACTTACCCATATGGTTGGTACCAAGAGTATGTGCGTTTCTTACCCATATGGTTCGTACCCAGAGTAAGTACGTTACTAACCCATGTGGTTGGTACCAAGAGTAAGTGCGTTACTTACCCATATGGTTGGTACCAAGGGTAAGTGCTTTTCTTACCCATATGGTTGGTACCAAGAGTAAGTACGTTACTTACCCATATGGTTGCTACCAAGAGTTAGTGCGTTTCTTACCCATATGGTTGGTACCAAGAGTAAGTACGTTACTTACCCATATGGTTGGTACCAAGAGTTAGTGCGTTTCTTACCCATATGGTTGGTACCAAGAATAAGTGCGTCTCTTACCCATATGGTTGGTACCAAGAGTGTGTGCGTTACTTACCCATATGGTTGGTACCAAGAGTTAGTACGTTACTTACCCATATGGTTGGTACCAAGAGTAAGTGTGTTACTTACCCATATGGTTGGTTCCAAAAGTAAGTGCGTTACTTACCCACATGGTTGGTACCAGGAGTAAGTGCGTTACTTACCCATATGGTTGGTATCAAGATTTAGTCCGTTACTTACCCATATGGTTGGTTCCAAGAGTAAGTACGTTACTTACCCATATGGTTGGTACCAAGAGTAAGTGCATTACTTACCTATATGGTTGGTACCAAGAGTAAGTGCGTTACTTACCCATATGGTTGGTACTAAGAGTATGTGCGTTTCTTACCCATATGGTTCGTACCCAGAGTAAGTACGTTACTAACCCATGTGGTTGGTACCTAGAGTAAGTGCGTTACTTACCCATATGGTTGGTACCAAGGGTAAGTGCTTTTCTTACCCATATGGTTGGTACCAAGAGTAAGTACGTTACTTACCCATATGGTTGGTACCAAGAGTTAGTGCGTTTCTTACCCATATGGTTGGTACCAAGAGTAAGTACGTTACTTACCCATATGGTTGGTACCAAGAGTTAGTGCGTTTCTTACCCATATGGTTGGTACCAAGAGTAAGTGCCTTACTTACCCATAAGGTTGGTACCAAGAATAAGTGCGTTTCTTACCCATATGGTTGGTACCAAGAGTAATTGCGTTACTTACCCATATGGATGGTACCAAGAGATAGTATGTTACTTACCCATATGGTTGGTACCAAGAGTAAGTGCGTTACTTACCCATATGGTTGGTTCCAAAAGTAAGTGCGTTACTTACCCACATGGTTGGTACCAAGAGTAACTGCGTTACTTACCTATATGGTTGGTACCAAGAGTAAGTGCGTTACCTACCCATGTGGTTGGTTCCAAAAGTAAGTGCGTTACTTACCCACATGGTTGGTACCAAGAGTAAGTGCGTTACTTACCCATATGGTTGGTACCAAGAAAAAGTACGTTACTTACCCATATGGTTGGTACCAAGAGTATATACGTTACTTACCCATATGGTTGGTACCAAGAGTAAATGCGTTACTTACCAATATGGTTGGTACAAAGAGTAAGTGCATAACCTACCCATATGGTTGGTTCCAAGAGTAAGTGCGTTACTTACCTATATGGTTGGTACCAAGAGTAAGTGCGTTACCTACCCATATGGTTGGTACCAAGAGTAAGTGCGTTACTTACCCATATGGTTGGTACCAAGCGTAAGTGCTTTACCCATATGGTTGGTACAAAGAGTATGTGCGTTACTTGCCCATATGCTTGGTACTAAGAGTAAGTGCGTTTTTTACGCATATGGTTGGTACCAAGAGTAAGTACGTTACTAACCCATGTGGTTGGTACCAAGAGTAAAGGCCTTACTTACCCATATGGTTGGTACCAAGAATAAGTGCGTTTCTTACCCATATGGTTGGTACCAAGAGTAAGTGCGTTACTTACCCATATGGATGGTACCAAGAGATAGTACGTTACTTACCCATATGGTTGGTACCAAGAGTAAGTGCGTTACTTACCCATATGGTTGGTTCCAAAAGTAAGTGCGTTACTTACCCATATAGTTGGTACCAAGAGTAAGTGCGTTACTTACCTATATGGTTGGTACCAAGAGTGAGTGCGTTACCTACCCATGTGGTTGGTTCCAAAAGTAAGTGCGTTACTTACCCATATGGTTGGTATCAAGATTTAGTCCGTTACTTACCCATATGGTTGGTTCCAAGAGTAAGTACGTTACTTACCCATATGGTTTGTACCAAGAGTATGTGCGTTACTTACCCATATGGTTGGTTCCAAAAGTAAGTGCGTTACTTACCCACATGGTTGGTACCAAGAGTAAGTGCGTTACTTACCTATATGGTTGGTACCAAGAGTGAGTGCGTTACCTACCCATGTGGTTGGTTCCAAAAGTAAGTGCGTTACTTACCCATATGGTTGGTATCAAGATTTAGTCCGTTACTTACCCATATGGTTGGTTCCAAGAGTAAGTACGTTACTTACCCATATGGTTGGTACCAAGAGTAAGTGCGTTACTTACCTATATGGTTGGTACCAAGAGTAAGTGCGTTACTTACCCATATGGTTGGTACCAAGAGTATGTGCGTTTCTTACCCATATGGTTCGTACCCAGAGTAAGTACGTTACTAACCCATGTGGTTGGTACCAAGAGTAAGTGCGTTACTTACCCATATGGTTGGTACCAAGAGTAAGTGCTTTTCTTACCCATATGGTTGGTACCAAGAGTAAGTGCGTTACTTACCCATATGGTTGGTACCAAGAGTAAGTACGTTACTTACCCATATGGTTGGTAGCAAGATTAAATGCGTTACTTACCTATATGGTTGGTACAAAGAGTAAGTGCATAACCTACCCATATGGTTGGTTACAAGAGTAAGTGCGTTACTTACCTATATGGTTGGTACCAAGAGTAAGTGCGTTACCTACCCATATGGTTGGTACCAAGAGTAAGTGCGTTACTTACCCATATGGTTGGTGTTAGAGACTAAGGACGGAGTCTACGAAGATTAGGTGCCTAAATTTCTTAAAATCGTTGGCTTGGAATTCTGGACAGAAATGTCGACTTCACAAGGAACGTCGTCGACGAAACGTTCACGGTTTAAAATTCACCAATCTCAGATATATTGTTTGCCCTAGACCGTGGCTACAATTCCCAATTTTATTCGTATCAAAAGGTGAAGTATATCTTGAGTTATGAATTTCGGCGCACTAGGGGGTATGCTGCCATAACAACTTAATTCAATCAGAATTTTCTCACAAGTACCACACAAGAAAGTTAGAGTAGCTAGAAACCAGGTAGGAGGGAAGAGGAGGACGAGAGAGAAGGTCCCAAGAGAGTCCCCAACCAAGAAAACCCCATGCCACACAATTCCTCTCTCTATAGGCACCCCAACTTTGACATTTGTCACTTTCCCAACCTCCACAATCCACCTCACCCAAGTTGACCACACTTGCAAACCCAATTTGGTTTTTCCCAACCACTTGGCATCATCTACAGGGATGGGGACGAATTTCCCAACCCCCAAAAGTTTTTACCCCATATTGAGTCACTCAACAAACTTCCCAAAGTCGTCGCATCCCAATCAAAACTTCGAACGAGCATAACTTCGTCGTTCTTGCTCCGATCGCGACGATTCTTGGTTCGTCGGAAAGCTCTTGAGCAGAGGAGTCACTTCAGATATCTGCCCAAGCCAAATGATGTGAATCAAGAAAACAGGAATGAAATGACTAAGTGAAAGTTGGGTACAAAAAGCAAACCCTAGAAAACTGTACCCCATATGTGCTACCCCACTATAGCCTACAGTAGTTATGTCATATAAATCTGACACACCCCCATAGGCAAAGTGGGGGAGAACAAGGGGTCACAGGACCAGTCAAGCAAAGCAAAACAAGCTCAGGGTGGATCACAAAGTCACCACACATTCCGAGCACAAGTTCAAGGCCACAAGGCCAGTGCACATGCAGGATTGCATATATATATATATAAGACTAGACAAGCAAGAGCAGGTGTATATATATATGCAACAGTACAAACAAGGTCAAGGGGTGAGCAAGTGAGGCAAGGTAGGCACAAGACCAAGCTGAGTACAGAAGCGCTGATGATCACAAGGCGCAAGTGCCTTGGTGAAGATATCAGCAGTGTTGGCCTCAGAGGCCACGTACGCAAGCCGCAGCTGACCACGCTGCTGTAGCTCACGAGCAAGGAAGTAGCGGAGAGCAATGTGCTTCATTCTGTGCTCCAGTCTCTGCTCTCGACACAAGGCCAGCATGGCCTTGTTGTCCACAAAGCCAGGAGGAAAAGACCCAGTGAAGCCAGGTGGGCGACGCAGCCAGATCTCCTCGTGCAGGCTGCCCTGCAAGAAAGCAGTGCTGAAGTCAAGAGAGTGCAGCTCGTAGTCGCGGTGAGCAGCTATGTGCAGCAGTACCCGAAGAGTGGTCATCTTCGGGGTGGGAGAGAAGGTCTGAAAGTAGTCAACTCCCTGCCGCTGACTGAAGCCACGAGCCACGTAACGCGCCTTGAAGACAGGCGGAGAACCTGGCGGCCGCTTCACCCTGAAAATCCACATGCCACTGACGATGTTCGCCCCAGGCGGGGGAACCTCGTCAACGTAGGTGCCTGTGGACTTCCAGGAAGCCATCTCTGCGTCCATAGCTGCCTGCCACTGAGAGGAGTAGGGACCCTCTATCGCCTCCGCGTAAGAGCGCGGAGTCGGGATGTCAAGTGCATCCGGGTCTCCCTCAGGGGTAAGCAGTACGGACACGAGATGAGGTGAAGCAGCAGCCAAACACTGGAACTCCTCCTGCCTGTCCTCAAGGACGTCCGTGCCAAGGGCACACTCACCCCCGACGGACGGAGGACAGACAGACTCAGACTCAGCAACAAGACTAGCAGCGTAGTCTAGACGACAGCGAGCAGCAAAGTCGACGAGCTCAGTAACTAGGGCAGACGCAGCAGTGGACTCAAAGGAAGGGTCAGTGACGACAGTAGCAAGGAGACGCGTGACAGTAGGACTGGCAGCACGAAGAGAGTCCGACTCCGGGTCAGGAAGAGCAGGAAGAGAGGACTCAGGAGGAGAAGGCAAAGGGGCACGCAGAGGAGCAGTGGACGGACGCAGAGACATCCGGTGCGTGCCAGGGACAGGAGGAGGACGCTGACGCGAACCACGACCACTAGTGCGAGCAGCACGGACAGGCGACGCAGGGCGAGACGCTGGCTCACGACGCTCAGCAAGACCTCCAGTAGGACCAGTGTAGGGAGAAGGAGCAGGCAGTGGGGAGGCCGGCTGTAACTGTAACTGTGACGGGACAGGCTGTGGACACTCTAAGGGAGGAGGAGGACCAGTAGAAGGCGGGAGACCAAGAACCTGCTGAAGGAGCGGAACGAAGTACGGCCGAGGCCGCGCGGCGACTCCAGACACAGCAGGGACAGCACCAGTACCCCCAGCGGCAGCACCAGCGCCAGCAGCACCTCCAGCTCCAGTACCTCCAGCAGCACCAGTTGCACCCCCAGCAGGACCGCCTCCAGGACCGACAGCAGTAGCCTCAGCGCCAACACCCTCAGCAGCTCCAGCTCCAGTCGTACCCGCAGGCCTAGCAGCTCCAGTACTCCCAGTACGAGCACCTCCGGGACCCGCGGCACCAGCACCCTCAGTAGTCGAAGAACCTCCAGCTCCAGCAGCACGCCTCCAGCGCCGGGCAAACCACTCGCGCAGCTCCTGTGGAGAGAGTGGCTCCCGCCGAGACGAAGCACCCGGAGAACCTCCAGGCTCAGCACCTCCAGACACCACACGAGCAGGCCCAGCTCCCTCAAGCTCCGCACCCCCAGGCTCAGCACCTCCAGGCGTAGCACCCCCAGGCTCAGCACCCCCAGGCTCAGGACCCCCAGTAGTAGCACCCTCAGGCTCAGCACCCCCAGGCGTAGCACCCACACGCTCAGCACCTCCAGAGTCAGCACCCCCAGGCTCAGCACCAGAGTCACCAGTAACCTCGACAGGCTCGACTGCGTCTACCTGGGACACACCTGAAGGGGCAGGACCCTGAGGGGGGAGGGGGTCTACCGGGGGGGGACCTGGCACAAGGAAGAGCGGTGGCGGGGGGAGGGACGGAGTGCGGTAGGGGAAGAGGCGGTAGTAGGGGACCGACTCGTCAAACGTGACGTCCTGGGAGGACAGAACACGGCGAGAGGTGGGGTGGTAGAACTGCCACCCTGGCGCGTCAGGGGGGAAGCCAAGGAAGACGCAAGGAGCAGCACGAGGGGACAGCTTGTCCGCAGACAAGTCGCGGACAAACGCCCGAGATCCCCAGACACGGAACGCAGACGCATCGCCAACCTTCCACGTCCACAGCAAGGCTGGGGAGGTCTCCAGCATGGAGACCCTGGGGTGAAGGTTGATCTGATTCGCCGCGTACCGAACAGCAAACGGCCACAGAAAATGGGGGGCAGCCGCATGATTCATGGACGTACGGGCGACGTCCATGACCATGCCAATGCGGCGCTCAGCAATCCCATTTTGCTGTGGAGAGTCCGGAAGCGTGAAGGTCTGGCGGATGCCTCGTGCACGACAGTAGGCTCGCAGAAGGCCAGAGGAGAACTCTCCACCTCTGTCAGAGTGCAGACGCAGAACAGGAAAGTCCGAGCCGAAGCTCTGCCTGAGCTGGAGACGAGCTGCGCGGATCCAGTCGATCAACACCTCAGTGAAATCACCCTTGCTGCGCAAGGGGAAGACTGTGGTGTAACGCGAGTAGTCGTCAACCACCAGCAGGAAGTAGCGCTCGTGACCCTGTCCACGGACGCGGGCCGAGCCCCACACGTCCATGTGAAGCGTCTGCAGCGGGGCCTCTGTCGGAGGAAACTGAGAGGAGTGAGGGGCAGCCCGCTGCCGCCCCTCGACACAGGGGACGCAGGTAGGGCCAGGCCCCGGAGGAAGGGGAGGGAGGGACCCGGGAAGACCAGAGACAAGGACACGGGAGGCCATGCCTCGGAGACGAAGCAGAGAGGGGTGACCAAGGCGGTGGTGCCAGAGGAGAGTCTCGTGAGACAGGAGGCGACACGAACAGGGGGCAGACTCAGGACCAGACCTGGACGCTGCAGCAAACACCTGACCTGACGCAGCTACCTGACCAGACGCAGTGACCGGAAGAGACGCAGTGGTCAGTGTGTACAGGCTCGAACCCGGCCGACGTGTAAACGTGGCCAGGTGTCGGCCTGTCCGAGCGTCCGTGCAGTGGGTCACCCGCTGACTCGCAGGAGTGAACTGGTGAACCCCCGCATCCTGTAGGTCAGCACCACTCCAATTTCGTAGAGAACGAGGGGAGGTAAAGACCAGACAGGGTGCCAGAGGGGGCCGCCGGACACGGGAGGACAGTGGAGAAGTGAGCAAGGACAGGACCCCCAGAGGGGTCTGCCAGAGAGACTGCAACTGGCCGGCCAAGCGGCGTGAGTGTGGTGCGGTCTCGAAAGAAGGAGCGAGAAGCCCCCGAGTCAAGGGTGAAGGTGTGGGAGGCCGAAGCCGACGCAGAACCTGAGAGAGCAGACTCACCAGCACCTGAGGGAGCAGACGCACCTAGAGCAGCAGCCTCGCTAGCACCTAGAGCAGCAGCCTCACCAGTACCTAGAGCAGCAGTCTCAATGCCCGGGTCAGGCGGAAAACACCGGTAACAGTCACCCTCATCACTAATAGTCACAGTATACATGGCAGCAAGAATAGCATCAAAGTCAAGGTCAAAGACAGCTACACCCGCCCTAGACAGCTCACCCCAGCGGGGGATCTCAGTGGCCTCAGGGAACTGGTGACGCCAAGCGTCCGTCAGGCGGCCAAAGCAGCGCTGGGTGGAGTGCGCACCCCCGCACTGGTCACCCGCGCGGTCGCCGGTGCGGAGGACGTAGGTGCACGGACCAGTACCCCCACCCCTCTGGCGTGCAGTGTACCACTCACGGAGCTGCTGAGGGGAGGGGATGTCACGAGTGCGCTGCTGCTGCTGCTGCTGCTGGCGCTGACCACCACCGGAGCCGACCCTCTGCGCAGCGCCACCCCGACCAGCTCCACCTCCTCCGCCGCCTCCTCCTCCACCGCCGCCACCTCCGCTCCCACCGCCACCGCCGCCTCCGCCTCCGCCTCCACTGCCGCCACCGTCACCTCCACCCCCGCCACCACCCCCACCTCCACCCCCACCCCCTCCACCGCCTCCACCTCCGCCTCCACCGCCCCCGCTAGCTCCTCCAGTGCCCCTGCCCCCCTTGCCCTTGCCAGGGCGACGTCTCCCGCTATGGGTAGACGCCGCACCGACCGACTCAAGCCCAACGAGGTCGGCCGCAGCAGCAGAGGCAACAGAGGGCAAAAGGGGGGAGGGGGAACACCCCTCAAAGATGGGGGTGCGAGGGTCACCACGAGAGGCTCCTACAGCGACTATGCTCTTCTCTGCTGCTAGGAGGGACTTCTCGAGGAGGTCAACGGTGAGAGTGGTGGGGCAAACTGAGAGGAAGTGGTCCCTGACTACGCGAAGGGAGTCAGGGAGCCGGGTGACTATGTAGTAGAGGGTGATGTACATGGGGGGGGGGGTTCTTGGCGCAGAACTCAGCAGGAAGCGCAGCGCGGTAGCGAGTGTCACTAGTGCGGAGGTGCGTAATGAGGTCACCGACTGTGGGAAAGGCAGCAAGGTCAGGGAAGAGGTACGGTAGCATGAGGCGGCTCAGTGCAGCAGTGGCAGGGGAGGAGTAGCGCGCAACTACAGCGTCGTACAAGGTCTGAGCACTCTTGTACTGGCTAAAGTGCGCACGCTCAGAGGTAGGCAGGTGGCGACGCACAGCAAGACGTGCAGCAGCATCGCGCGTGGCCCACTGTGAGCGAACAGTGGCGTCAGCATCAGCAGCGGGGGCAGGAGAGGCACCAGAAGTGAGGTCAAAGAGGGAGAGGCCGTCTGCCCTGTCGCACTGTAAGAAAAGCTGCAGGTCATCTATCCAGACATCAAAGTCAATGGCCCGACCCTCAGCGTCAAAAGCGAGGACACTAGGGGTAGCCATGACAGTAGTAGACTAGCAGCGCAAACAGTAGGGTGAGGGCAGTGCTGTGAAAGGGGCGCTGCTCTTACCGGACAGGGCGGCTCGGGTGGCTCGGCTGCAGGGCGGCTCGGCGGCTCGGCTGCTGGGCGGCTCGGCGGCTCGGCGGCTCGGTTGCTGGGCGGCTCGGCGGCTCGGCTGCTGGGCGGCTCGGTGGCTCGGCTGCTGGGCGGCTCGGCTGCTGGGCGGTTCGGCGGCTGGGCGGCTCGGCTGCTGGGCGGCTCGGCGGCTCGGCGGCTCGGCCGTTCGGCTGCGACTGCTGCTGCAGAGACGGCGGCGGCTGCTGCCTCAGGGACGGCAGCGGCCGGCCGCTAGGGGCCGCGTCAGGTGCAGGAGAGGGCCGCGTCAGGGGCGGCGTAGGGGCCGCGGCAGGGGCGGCGAAGGGACCGCGTCAGGGGCCGCGTCAGGGGCCGCGGCAGGGGCCGCGGCAGGGGCCGCGTCAGGGGCCGCGTCAGGGGCCGCGGCAGGGGCCGCGGCAGGGGCCGCGTCAGGGCCCGCGTCAGGGGCCGCGTCAGGGGCCGCGTCAGGGGCCGCGTCAGGGGCGGCGTAGGGGCCGCGTCAGGGGCCGCGTCAGGGGCCTCGTCAGGGGCCGCGGCAGGGGCCGCGTCAGGGGCCACGTCAGGGGCCGCCTCAGGGGCAGCGTAGGGGCCGCGTAGGGGCCGCGTCAGGGGCCGCGGCAGGGGCCGCGTCAGGGGCTGCGTAGGGGCCGCGTCAGGGGCCGCGTTGGGGCCGCGTCAGGGGCCGCGTTGGGGCCGCGTCAGGGGCCGCGTAGGGGCCACGTCAGGGGCCGCGTTGGGGCCGCGTCAGAGGCCGCGTAGGGGCCGCGTCAGGGGCGACGTAGGGGCCGGGTAGGGGCCGCGTAGGGGCCGCGTAGGGGCCGCGTAGGGGTCGCGTAGGGGCCGCTAGGGGGGGGCCGCTAAAAAAAAAAAATTAGGGCAGGGGCGCAATGCGCGTCGGGCAGCTAAAAAATTTTTTTTCGTTATGGTGGGCCCTTAGGAAGGAACGGTCCCATGTAGGAACCCGCTCTATACCATGTGAATCAAGAAAACAGGAATGAAATGACTAAGTGAAAGTTGGGTACAAAAAGCAAACCCTAGAAAACTGTACCCCATATGTGCTACCCCACTATAGCCTACAGTAGCTATGTCATATAAATCTGACAAATGACATTCACACACACTCAGAAAATCCAAACCAGACAAAACACAATTCTTGCGCACGCTCACACCGCGCATGCAATGCACAAACATATAATGGGAGGCAGACATACGTGAATGCAAATGATAGCATCACATAACAAACTCCCCCTCTGGCTGCCTACCATCATCCCACATGCCATAGCTCAAGCATGCACCCTCAATGCACACTCATCCCAGCAAGCTTCATGCCCTTCCAATGCTCAGGTTCGGCCAGGCGCTTGGTAAGAATGTCAGCCGCCTGCTGATGGGTCTTCACAATCTCCAGCCGCACCTCCTTGTCCAGGAGCCTCCTCACCCAGTGCCACTTGGGCCTGATGTGCTTTGTCAGCCCATGAAGGCAGGCGTTCTTGGCAAGCTTCACTGCCGACTCATTGTCACAGAACATCACAGTTGGCTCCCTCTGACCAACTCCAGTCTCCTCCAACAAACGCCTCAGCCACACCACCTCCTTTGCCCCGTGATGCAGGGCCATGTACTCTGTCTCACATGAGGACTGCCCCACCTCGTTCTGCTTCTTGCTGCGCCAGCTCACTGCACCACCTCCAAACAGGCATACATAGCCTCCAATGCTGGTGCCATCCGCCTTCACAGAGTTGAAGCTGGCGTCAGTGTAGCAGGTCAGGAGCATCTCCCCCTTGCTCAAATCAGTAGCACCCCGCTGCTGCCTTTGCCTCACAGCACTGTACTCCAAACCCACAGATGCTGTAGTGCTCACATAGCGGACCAACCTCTTGGCCGCTTCCAGCTGCTCATGACTGGGGCGTGAAACCACACTGGCAAGCCTGGATGTAGCAAAGGCAATGTCAGGCCGCGTGTGGTTAGCCGCATAATTGAGTGCCCCCACCATGGAATGAAACAGCTTCCTGTCACTCTCACCCACCACCTCCTCATCAGCACAGGGCTCCACAGTGAACCCCGAAGGCAGTGGGGTTGCTGGCTTTCCTCCATCTTGCAGCCCATACTTCTCAGCCAGCCCCTCACAATACTTCCTCTGGTGCAACCTCAGCACTCCCTTGTCAAGGTCCCTCTCCACATGCATCCCAAGGTAATACTTCACATCTCCCATCTTCGAGCACTTGAACTGCATCTCCAGCATCTCCTCCACTCGCTCAATCATCGCAGATGACTTGGAAAAGCTCAGGATGTCGTCCACATACACCAGGAGCATAAGGAACTGCTCCTTCTCTTGCAGCAGGAACAAGCTGTGGTCACACTCACTCTTCTTGAACCCCCCACCCAGCAGTGTCTCCTCTAGCTTGTGGTACCAGGCGCGAGGAGCCTGCTTCAGGCCATAGATGGCCTTCTTCAGCCTGCACAACCAGCCGCTCCCATCATCCAATCCCTCAGGCTGTAACATGTACAGCTCCTCCAGAATGATCCCATTGAGGAAGGCGGTGGTTATGTCCATCTGTTTCACCCGCCATCCACGGTTTGCTGCCATTGCCAATGACACCCGCAGTGTTGTGCCTTTCCCCACAGGAGCAAAGATCTCGTCAAAGTCCTTCCCCTTTGTCTGCTGAAACCCCTTAGCCACAAGCCTTGACTTGTAGCGGGTCAGCGCCCCATCAGGTCCGTACTTATGCCTGAAGATCAACTTGGAAGAAATGGCCTTCTTCCCAGGAGGCAGCTCACACAGCTCCCACGTCTCATTCTCCAGCAGAGAGTCATACTCCTCCTTCACACTCTGCTTCCACTTTTCAGCATCGGGCCCGCTCAATGCCTCAGCTAGCGTCTTGGGCTCAGGGACGGCTGCCCAGTAGCAGTGTGCAATCTCTTCCTCATCACACTGCTCAGCCACACTCCCAGCCCTTACCACCTTTGGCTTGCCAAAGCTCGGATAGGTCAGCCGGTTAGGAGAGCGCACATCCCTCCTAGGACGGTCAGCCGGACGTGCGGCACCTTGTGGAGCACCTTGCTGCAGCTGCTGCAGCTGCTGCTGCTGCTGCTGCTGCTGCTGCTGCTGCTCCACCTCAGGTTCTCCCCCATCCTCAGTCACCCCAGAGATCTCATCCTCTGAGACAGTGACCTGCACTTTCCTCGAAGGCCGCTGCACCTCATCAGCCTCAATGATCAGAGGTGTAGTAGGAAGCTTCTGCTGCAGCTGCTTCCACTTCTTGTAGTACAAGGACTCCAGGAACTTCACATCCCTTGACACAGTCAGCTGCTGGCTGGTCAAGTCCCAAATCAACCAGCCCTTGTGATCCTTAGCAAGCCCCAAATGCACACCCCATCTCCCAGAAGCTTCCAGCTTTCTCCTCTTCTCCTTAGGTACATGAAACACCACCATGCACCCAAAGGCTCTCAGCATGTTCACAGCTGGTGCACTCCTATACCACTTGGTGTAGGGGACCCACTGCTTGTCCCCCACAGTCGCCAGCACCCTATATGGTTGGTACCAAGAGTAAGTGCGTTACCTACCCATATGGTTGGTACCAAGAGTATGTACGATATTTACCCATATGTTTGGTACCAAGAGTAAGTGCGTTACCTACCCATATGGTTGGTACCAAGAGTAGGTGTGTTACTTACCCATATGGTTGGTACCAAGAGTAAGTGCGTTACCTACCCATATGGTTGGTACCAAGAGTAAGTGCGTTACTTACCCATATGGTTGGTACCAAGAGTATGTACGATATTTACCCATATGTTTGGTACCA